GGTGTGATTCTGGTGACTGCCTGGGCACTGTCATTTAGCGCCCCGCCGACCTCAGGTGTCTAACGTTAGAGTTGCTGGTTTCCCCAGTATCTGTCCTGGTGTTCCTGACTAGTTGGACACATGGCTCCCTGAAACAACAGCTGTGGTTCTTCCTTTCCCTTGTAGACAGTATTGCTAAATGCCTCCAGCTGCCCGAGGAATTCCAGGGGAAGCTCAAGGCCTGGTACAACTCCTACACTTTCCTCCCTGTGCATATAGGGTCTCTTACCCGGAGCCACTGTGTTCAGACATGGTGACACTCCAGACACCACTTCTTCAAGGCAGGGATGCTGGCTGCTTGTTGTGCTCTCCTAGCTGTTCCTTAGACTATGTTTATGATCTAAGTCCCGGAGTATATTAATTTCAGATCAGTTGGCTTCCAGTAATAACAACTGAGTGTAACCCATCGAGAAAAGTACATGAAACACAGTTTACCAAATGCCTCTGCTGCCTTTGACTCACAAAGATGATGTTTAACACAGGTCACCATGCCTGAGCTGGAGGCCCCTGTGGAAAGCTTGCTTGATTGCTTAATCTCACTTCTCTGGAAGCTTCAAGTCTAAAAGGTAAGGTACCAATGGGTGGTGACCGAGAGACAGCATAACCCGCCTTGCGGCCTGTTCCCCCTTAGCAGGTGGTGCACAGATCTGGCTTCCCAGACAGTGTGACCCCTACAAGTGACAGGTACATTTACCTCTCTTTACCACTTATCCAGGACCCTGCGTAGAGTGAGTGGTGAGGCTAGATTCCAGCTCAAGGCTGAGTAGCACAATACAGGCTTCTGCCCACAATACTCTCCCAATCTTGCCTGTCTGCTGCTGCTGAGGAGAGAGGCCAGCCTATGTTCTTAGTCAGAACATATGTTCTTAGCCTATGTTCTAAGCAGAAGAGAGGCATATTAGCTAACCAAAGAAGGCTTTGTATCCCAGGCTTTCCTGATTCCTCCTTTGAAAATGGTAAAATATCCCCACTTCATAGGTGTAGAGTTCAGCTACCTGCTCGTGGGTAACCAAAGACTTCTGTGTTCTTACTTGCAGGATGGTCCATCACTGGCCATCACTGCTAGCCTGTACACGTGACTCTCCCCCAGACTTCACTGACTCCATGTGACTCTAAGAGGCAAATTGTCATAATCACCAAGTGGACTTGAATTTCATTACCTTTTGCTGTCATACTGCCATAATTGGCCAGAGCTGGTTCCAGGTTAGTGATTGCCTATGGGACTCCCGCATAGAACTTACGAGCTGCTTGATAGTGTGCACAATACACTTCCTTCTCCTTCCTGGGGTTTCTCTTCCCTGTCTCAAAGCAGAATGAACAAGTTTTTCCTAAGAAGCATTTCTGTCCTGAGGTAGTCAGCTCTTTGAACATTTAACTTCACCCCCACATTATTACCGAGAAGCATTTCATGGCTCTGGGCCCAGACCTGACCCCCGCAGATCCCATTTGCAAGGACTGTCGAAGGCAGATGAATCACTCACTACCAGTAAGTACTTTTTTCCTTTGGCTTCCAAATCTGGCAGTGGTTGGGCAACAGTGGGCCATTAAGACTTTTGCAAATTAAATTCCCCCAAAGATAGATTTCACTAATGCAATAAAAAGATGATTTGTGATCCTGACAACATATACTAAACTCCAAGGACAAAAATTTTTTAATATTCATTTGGTTATTTGTTAAAAACAAAATGAAGAGTGTGGCAGAAATGGATCTCTTTTTCTCCACGTTGATGTTCATTAGCTATCTGCTACCAAAAATAAATCTCATGAGGGATTGGAGGGAGAAAAGGGAAGGGACTGTGTAATTATATTTTAACTGAAATTTCTTTTAAAATAATGCCCATGCTTGCTGCATGCTCTGTTGCAATATGGCGGTTTGTTTCTTTTCAATTAAATTGTCTTACAATCTCTAATTCCTGAATTATCTTAATCTGTCTCTCTCTCCTCTCCTTCTCCTTCTTCCTCCCTCCCTCCCTCCCCCTTTCTCTCTCTCTCTCTCTCTCTCTCTCTCTCTCTCTCAGATAGTAAAATAGTGTGGGGCACAGTTAGAGTCTAAAACTCAAGTACCTTTGGAATCCAGACACACACACACACACACACACACACACACACACACACACACACACTGGCCAAAGGAAAACGTGTCAATTTAAATTCTACTGGACAGTGACCAAGCTTGTGACCCAGACTTGCAATAGTTCATTGCATGTAATTTATAGGGTTTGAATTCAAACAGCACGGACTTCCTTGAATTCCTCTGCTTCTGGTATCCTGTCTGCTTGTGTTGTTAAGATTAATACCCACCAGTTTTCACACATATCTTACCATAAAAATATACTGGCATCCAGGCAGGCTCTTTCCCACTGCATACATGGTATGTGTTCTCATGTGGCAAGTGCATTTGTGACAAGCTACAGATCAAGGTAACTTACACAGAAATCTAGGATGAGGACAACAAGCTCCAATCTGTAGAATGTCAGCTATCCCAGTGGCCTGTTTCAATGCTAGTGGTCTTTCCTGGATGGAGAGGGACAGAGCACCTTCCGTGACTGCTAAGGGACCCATTCACTCTGCCTGTCTCAGGCCCTTCATTCAGTCTGTGGGAACAGCAGTCTGTGGGGACAGCAGTCTGTGAGGACAGCCTATGAGCTTGAACTTAGTGATTTTGTGTGAAAGCTGTCATCAGAAGCTGAAAGATGCTTTTTTATATTTTTCTATTTGCTTTTCAATAACTTCCCTGTCCTCAATACACACAGAGAAACTCTACACTAAGGCCGAGTTAGGATATGACAAGTTCAACCTGGAGAAAAATACAGCTAAAATCCCTCCTGTGATATCATTTGCTTGGTGACCCGCAGGCAGTAGTAACTACAAGTTGTTCCCAAATTGTCCTTACTCCTCATAGGCATTAAAAGGAAAGCAAACCCTGAAATTTAAGAAATTTTGAGCAAGAAACAGGTTCTAGAAATAGGCATTGTCGTAGCCTGAGGATGCTTTTGGATGCCTTCTGATCATAAGGGGCTATTTTCATAACCACAGAGAGAGAAGACCTAGATGCTCCAGTTTGGTGTTATACTTTGTCAGGGTTTATGACAACCTTCAGCTTGGGATTGGCTCAGGCTCAGGAGCCCAGTTACTAGGGTGTTCTTTGGCTTAGGTTACAACGTCCATAAATAGGGTGTAGTATACTATATAGAGAGGCCACCTGTGGTCAGATTTTATTGCTCATGTAAGCTAGGTTAGGGCAAATCTATTTCAGTTTTGTAACAGAAATGAGGCTCTGGCTCTTAACTAGGTTCTTCGGTTCCCAGTAAGTGAATAGTTCTATATTTCTAGTGCCCTTCGCAGCTTCTGAATGGCAATGAGACTGGCTCTGGTTAGGTGTAAGATGAAGCATCAGAACTGTCCTAAAGATGGAAGTTCTAGTTCCTTCCTCCTTCTCCCGCTGGTTACAATTCATGCGGTGATAGCAAGGTCTATGACAGCAATTTTGTGCTGTATGATGGCGGAACAGAAAGACAGGGGGAGCTATGCGCCATCCTTGCCAAGGGCACGTTGTCCTCTGCTCCCTTTCTTTGGACATTTAGACAGGGACAATGTAGGTTTGGGGTGTCCCCAGCTGCTAGAGCAGAGGAGGTTCTGGGTGTCCCTCGAGTGATCCCTTGAGTTGTATGAACTCAAACGCCAATAGACTTTCACAGCTGCAAAATCCTTTACGAGAACCTTCTGCCCTCCTCTTCCTCTGACCGGGTCTCCACGGGCTCAGGCTGTTGTTGTCTTAGTTGCCTCTATCACTTCTCAGTGCTAACTGTGTTCTGTGTCTGTGCCCTAGATGGGAATTTGCCCTAGGTGGGGTAGAACTTACCTTTGATGGTCACTTTTCCTATTTATAGTACAAAGCAAAACATTTAAGCTCTAATACCCCATAAACTCCTTAACTGATGTAATGTGAAACTCAGTTTTTGTTTGAGAGAGGATATCCTACAGCCCAGGCTAGCCTGACACTCAGTATATCAGCCCAGGCTGGCTTGAACTCCTGATGCACTTGCCTCCACTTCCAAGCGCTAGGGTGACAGAGCTTGCACCATTCCTGGATTGTGTGGTGCTGGGAATCAGATTTAGGAATCAGTGTGTGCTCAGCAGCCACTCTACCAACTGAATGACATCTCCAGCCTGGAATACATCTTCGAACCTTGAATTATCCCATTTTCTAGGTCTTTTCCCTCTCGTCTTTAGGTTTTATGTTCTCTTAAAGATCTGGAGAGCTGCTCTTCCAGAGACTGGGCTTTGATTCCCTGCACCCACATGCTGGCTCATAAGAGTCTGTAACTCCAGTTCCGGGTGATCTGATGCCCTCTTTTGTCTTCTGTGGGAACCAAATATGCATGTGATACCCAGACATGCATGGAGACAAAATATCCGTACACATAAGATATAATAATAAAAAATAGAATTAGATTTTATGTTATTCAGAAAAAAAACGATCCCTATAGAGTAACAGGGTATTCTCTAAAATAGGGAGAGGCAAACTCAGAGGCCCATAAACTTCCTGCTAAGCTTTGTGTCAAAAAATGATAGTGATAGGCAAGTTAAAAAAATTTTATTTGTTAAAATCCCACCAAAAAATTGATTGCTGGACAATAAGGAAGAATGAGGTCTGTTGGGGTGATTTAATTTATATGAGGCTCAAATTATATAGTTTAGTTTTATTTAAAAAATTAGAAATTTTATCATCATCATCATCCTTTGTGTGTGTGTGTGTGTGTGTGTGTGTGTGTGTGTATACCCAGGGCTTGAATTCAAGTTCTTAAGTTTGGTGGCAAGCACCTTTACCTTCTAAGCCATCTCATTCACTCTAAAGGTTTCTTTGTAAGGCATAACCTTCTCCCCGTGATTTGAAGGAGATATTAATATCTAATCCTCAAAGAAGGGAGCAAATGAGAAGAAACTAAAGACATACCTGGTGAACTGAAATGGCATTTTATTGCAATCACAAAGCACCAACTCAACGAGGCATGGACACATATCACTCAGTAAGTGCCTCTTGGAACAGAGATGTAGTAAGCCTACTTTTTAAAGTTCTCAAAGATTGGTACTCAAACCAGGGACCAAGTACAGCAGAGGACAGCTAAAAAACGATTACAGCATCATGGAGGGATATATATTTTATATGTAAAATATAAAAATATTCTGTGCTATCAACAGAGCCTTGGCATCATCTATTAACCCTTGGCAAATTGCTTCAAAAAGAAATTACTATAAATACAAACCATAAGGTAGAAAAAAGCAAAATAACAACAACAAAACAAAAAACAAAACATTAAATGCTTTCTTCAGCAATAAGGAAACCAACGTAAGCAGGAAATATTCTTACTTCCCCATGACAGTGAGTTGATGGCAATAGATATCTCCAAGAAAACAAGTTTCTCTTCTCAGAGAGAGTTTTGCTCCTGAAGGGGGTCTGGGGCGTGTTCAACTCAAACACAGCATGGCACATCCCGTGAAACCTTAACAAGGTCGAGTGGAGAACCCTCTATAGCCAAAGGGTGTAGGAAGATCCATCCAAGGACCGTATATCTAGGAGCAGAGTGACTCCAGGGAGATGGCAGTCCTCCTCGCTCCCCCCACCCCAGGGAGCTCTGGTAATTGTCATTTCTAAGTCTATAACCCAAGGACACACATTCCACTTCCATCCTTTTTTTTTTAAAAGGAGTTGATGGAAAACACTCTTTGATGAAAGAAAGAAAATTCCTATGATATCAAAGTGCCCGAGGGGAGGGGTACCTAAGAGTTGGTGACAACTTGGTTTGACAGGGACAATCATCTTATGCTCGCTCTGCTTTTGCTCCTCCAGGCTGAGACAGGCCAGCGGATGGATTGCCTGGTCTATCCAATAGGATAACACTTTGTTGGATCGAAATTCTTTACAAATACACGTCTATGTATTCTGTTTGCAGAGTTTCACAACATGAAACTAAATTACAACACTGTGCACTCTGTTCTGAGGACTGAGACCTCAGTGTGATTTTACTATGAAGAGTTGTTCTTTAAATGCTTGGTCTGAAGAGGTTTTACATGATACTCATAGATTTTCAGAGCAGGCCCCAGTTTTAACTGAAGTCCTGTCAACACGTCATTTCTCGTCATCAAGAGCAGGGATTTTCCATCAATTTCCTAGAAGGGAAACAGAGAGGAAAGCCAGCGTGTGAGTAAAGAGTAAAGCCCAGTGCTCTTGGGGATGAAGATAATGGGAAGGCTTAAGGCAGAGTTCACACTTGTCCCTTGACTAAAACTGCTGATGGGGTGTCGAAATCCAATCTTCTACTGTAGCTTCCATTTTATCTTTCCGTTTTGAGATTAAACACAATCTGTAGCTGATATTGTTTTCAAGATCCTGTTACAAATCTTAAGAAACTCAGGGGCAAGTTTAGAACAGTGTTACCCACCTCAGGGAGCAGAGGTTGCTTCTGAAAGGGATACAGACATGCTCCAACCATAAAATACATTACAAGTTGTTAGAATTTCCTATATACTTTAAGTTTCAAAACCACTGTATAAATTACAACAGGTAGAGATTATCATTCTTAATTTACAGACAGAAAAAGGATATAGCAAGAAGTCTACTGGCCTGAGACAAAAATAATTAGGAAAGAGGGCCATGAGACTCGAACTCTTGTCTGCTCACAGCCTTAGTATGCTTTCCTGCTGTCTCCCTCTCTCCTTGCTCCTCTTTCTACTGTCAGAGAGGGGAAACAGGGCTTTAAGGATATGCTAGGTCAGCACTCTGCCCCAAACCTTGTCCCAGCCCACCCCTACTTAATGCACAATTCAAGTTTGCTGTCTAGGAGTCTGACTCGAAGGTTTCTGGAAATCTTGCTAATTGCAATATTAGGGAAGAGTATACATGGCTCACCCAGTGGGAGAGTCTTTCTTCTCATTATACCTCATTCTGAAACCCACTCTTTGCATGCTGTGACTCCTTACCATGCTTCCTCTTGCCAGATCAAGGTTGTGAGAACTAGGACCCAGCCAGCTGCCAGTCCCTTTCTGCTGGTGCCTTAGACTTTGTCAGGCAGACCCTTCTGGTATTGTGGGGACTACAAAGGGCAAGACTAAAATAGGCTTCTCGTAAGAAGGCTGTGAATGGCCATGCCGTCTGTGGTCCTGCCTTTGTTACTGTTTGGTTGTGGAAGTTTCATGTCTCTTAAGGCAGAGCTGGTCCGTAGGAGGCATGGGTCAGATGTGCTGGAGAGTTTTGTTCATAGTTTTGCTTGAGTACTCCTGGACTGATCTGGGCTGAAGACCCAAGGAGACCCTGAAGTGGCTACATTGAACTGTGGTTCCTGTTTACTCTGGCTCCTAGGGAGGCCATTGCTCCTAACTCCCATCGATTCTGTCAGGCTGTGGAGAAAATGTGATGGATTCTAAGAGTACAGAGAAGTAGCAGTGCCAGAGAACCCCCCACTCTGACTCCTGGGAGAGGTGGGGACATGGGGGTTTCTAGGAGGATTCCATGCGCCTGGTTATGCTCCTTTTAGCTGAGTGACACTTCTCTGTCATTGTCTACACCTCAGGTGACATGTCAGTCATTGTCACCACACCAGAATAAGGAACTGCTTCTTGTGGCCCTACAGTGTTTTTCATTTGGGGACATGTTTGTTTTTATTTTTAGCTACTAAAACATCTGCTGATTTGTGAGAGACAGCCACCTCACAGGACAAAGCAGCTGCTTCAGGGAAGAGTTGAACATGACATACAGACCCAGGAATTGACTCTAACACTAAAGTACCTACCTCACGGTGCAGTTAGTGGTCATGATTGCCCATCAATGTGACACACAAGAGTCCCAGTCACCTGTTAACTATTTTGAGGTGAACTTAACTTGAGAAGATCTGTTGTCCCTACAGAATCCCAGGAGCAGAGCAGAAGGGGCTACATGACAGCAGCAGAACCTAGGACACTGTGTGACCACAATGGAACCCAGGACACTGTGCGACCACAGCATTCTAAAGTTTGGTGGCCTCGGCGCTGCTCTGAATACGGTGAACTTGACTGGGAACACTTGACTAGAACTTGACTGGGAACACCCATGGAGCCAAGCCCTCCCTGCTAAGACACAACCCTCTAGTTCTCAAACAGCCACCTCTGTTTTTAGACCCTGTTTTCATTTCTACACAAACAGACTTCCTTTATTAAGTGAAAGTAAACTGTGGACAGAAGAAATCAGTGATGGCCAAGCATCCCTCTGTGACTTGGCATTTCTGCCGGGTGTGTCTGTGACAAGGCCGAGGTCTGGATTTTACTTCAGAGAAAATGGAAAGTCATATTTTATGTCCCAATTTGATGTCCTTCTGTTGTCCCCACAGGTACACCACAGCTCACACAGGAGTAGTGGCAGAAGGATTCATCTGGAGACGTCCCTGTGTAAGCATTAGTATCAACTCCCATGCTTTCCCCTTTGACCCCAACTCTCAAAGCTCAGACACAGAATGCAGTACTAGGTGCTTGTGAACTTTGGATCAGGCAGACAGCAGTCTGAATCCTATTACCACAACCTAGGAGGCAGGCAAGCACAGGGACTAACTTAGTAGCAGGGGATTCTGTTCCGTCTGAGCTATGTATTCATATGGACTCACATGTACTCATAGTGCATCCGGCAGCTTGACACCCTTAATGGTGGGTACTAAGCACATATGCCCTTTTCTGAACAATGTACCTAGCAACATGTGAGCAACTTTGGGTCACCAGCTGCACATACCTGCCCCACTCCAAAGCAGAGAATGTTTCTCCTCCCCTTTGCAAATGATAGGCACCGAAAGAAAGCAGTGTGTTCTGAGCCCAGGTCCACTCTCAGGTTCCTTTCTACATCATTGCCAGAGGGATGTAAGTGTATTCCCACTCCAGGTGACAAAATTCACCAAGACTAAAATTTTCAAGGACTGCATAAAACCTGCGCCTCACCAAAATCGCACACACAGGAAAGTCCCTTGATTAAAAGAGCTAATGATTTGTTATCTAACTTCCATAATAGATTATAATTGCAAATGAAGCCCAAGTTTTGCCAAGCAACCATGACTGCACTATAACTTCATTGTAGCCTTCTTGAGGAGGAACTTGTCCAGATCCCGGCAGTTCATTGCTACAGAATGAAGGGGTAAAATGCCACCAACAGACTCCAGCTCAGTGGGACAAACAAACAACCCAAGATTTTGCAAATACATCATCACAACTAAAGCCTGAACAAAGACAGGCTGGGATTTCTGTGTTAATAGACAAGTGTTTGCTTGCCTCACTGTTACAGTGTTCCTGTCTTCATGTATAAGCAAATGTCACATTCCTGTTGGACCAGAAAGTTAAAATGTTTGTCTGCTTTGAAAGTTCCAGCAAGTACGGATGCATTCAAGCAAGGTGCGAGGTGCAGAGAAGACAGGACTGAACTCCCAGTGGAGACAAGGGGGTCCCCGGACTTACCAATCAAGGAGACAGAGTGGTTACAACTTTACTAGGTATTAGGCAGGCTCTAATCCTGTTATCTCTTTAAGCCTCTTCCCTCACCTGTTGGATGAGGAAAGCAGCTCCCTGATTACACTGCTGGCTGGATTCAGAGAACATTTACTGAGTAGCCAACACATGACTTGCAGATAAACCCTTAACCCAGTACTTCTCACTGTCTCTGTCAGCGTTAATCTACATGGAGGACAGACCTCAAGTTTGACTTGATCAGGATATGAACCATGGGAAACTCATGGGAAGAGAAAGAGAAGACACAAAAAGAGGGTCCGAGGAAGAACAGGAACAGTCACCAAGAAGGAGGCTGCTGTGTGGGAGACAGCAAGGGAAAAGCACAGTGAGTCTGCTTTTCACTATGGTGTGGTGTCCGGCCCATGTGTCCTGACTGAGGAAAGAAAGCTCAGCTTTGAGGAGACAGGGTAGAAGGGCAGCTCTGCTTCTCATGGGTTCTCTGTGTTAACATCTGACCCAGAACTCCCCTCCACAGTGGAGAGAGCTTTGGGCTAACCTGCCCTCTGTCTATGCCACTCCCCCCTCAGATTCCTACTGTCTCCAACAGGCATCAAGACACACCAATCTCATCTGCAATTCCTGGTGAAGAAGACAATGGCAGTTCCTTACCAACCACGTGAAGGATTCTGACGAAATAGCCGTTCGTTCTCTATTTTCTTTGGTCCTTGAACGTTCTCTACAACTCTCTTTGTGACAACTCTGTTACCATTCACTATCTTGCTACAAGTGGTGACCAGTTTGAACGTTCCCATTCCATGGTTTACATATGGTACAAATGTTTCAGGGTCATCAAGATTTGATCTGGGTCCTTGGGACACAAAAGTAGAAAATCCTGTGTCCATGATGGGGGTGACAGTAAAGAAGGAGGAAGAGGCTCTTCTGGACCGAGTCATGGGACCAGTGAACAAACAGTCCCCTGAAAAAAGGTCTTCATCTTCAGTGACCTTCTGGAAGGTGTATCGCGGCCTCCGGGAGCATATTTCTTCTTCCCAGTTGGTTTCGTCTCTGCCTTCATTGACGTCTTCATCTCTGATGATCTCCTCTTTGGCACGGCCGTCACCTCTGATTTCCCCTTTGGTTCGGTGCCATCGGGACCTGTCATAGTCCTTTCGCTTCTTGGCATCAGATAGGATGTGATAGGCTTCTGCTACTTGTTTGAATTTCTCCTCAGCTGCTTCCTTGTCTCCCGGGTTCTTGTCTGGGTGTACCTGTAGAGCCAGCTGATGGAAAGCCCTCTTGATATCCGAGGAGGACGCGTTCTGTGGCACCCCTAGTACTTTGTAATAGTTCACCATGTTTCTTCAAACAGCCTTGCCCCACCAAGATGCAGGGTTGAGATTTTGAAGAATTTCCATATAACTTCAGAAAAAAAAGATGGTCAATTATTCAAGTTTATAGCTTTGAATTTCCTCACATGGTTCTTGGGGTGAAGCCTCTTCTGGTGGAGAAATTCCTCTTCAGTGGGTTGAACCTTCACATGCCACCACACCCCTGACCTGCCTTTGCTAGGCATTGTGGGGGATGACTATGAGGTCATCACTTCAGTACCTCTCAGCTGATGCTCTGCCTGCCTTGTTTCCATAGTGATGGGGAATCTGAGGTGGCCACTACAAAAACCAGAAAGACCTTCTCTGGTTCAAAGACAAATGCAC